GAACTTTCAGCAGTAAGGTGTTTTAGTAATCTTTACAATTCTTTGTATAGTTGCTGCCTGTTTGGGGGAAGTCATATGACTATACAGTGTTAAAATTGAGGGTATGCACCTGCATACTTGGGTCATTTTGCCTTTCCTTGCCTACTTGCCACCAGAGGGTAGTCAAATAATGGTCAACTGAACATAAGAGAATCTTGTGGGTATATGCATGACTTTGGGAACATGCTTTGTGCTCATAAATCTACAAGACCATGTTAGACTTCTTTCTGGAATGTGGAAGAAGACTGGCACTTCTGGGTCAATTCCCAGTTAGGGACTGTTTTTACAGTTTCTTCCCCTATATGCTCCCCACCTTCTCTCATTCTTGCTCATCTCTAGATGACTACTTAAACAAATATATAGGAAAAAAAAAAACAGTATATACAGAGTTCTGTACTTTCCATACATCCACTGGGAGTCTTAGAACATATTCCCAGTGGATAACAGGAACTACTGGATTAATGGTAATAGTAAATAAAAACCTTAACAACAAATATCAACATTTTAAATGTACATACTCTCCAACCCAGAAACTCTCTTACAGGATTTTATTTAATAGATACAGTCATATCAATAAAACCTGGGATATTTAGCAACAGGCAACTGATTAAATTAGTACAATAAAAAATGAAATACCAGGTACTATGAAAAAAGGTAATTCCAAATTACTGAAATGACCAAATATACACAAGATATAATTTCAGCAAGTTTTAGGGCTTGTATACAGAATTTCAGCCATATTTTTTGAAGGATATAGCTAAATACATAGTATTACTAGAGCTATATCTATAGATTATGCTATATATTTTGGAAATATATCATCCCACAATTAGTGTTTTATAGTAAATACTCCTAATACAAGAAACATATATTCTTATTATACAAGAGCAAATTTTAAATGATGAAATGATAAAAGAACATTTTTAAAGCCAACTGTGTCTATTTTTAAATATGAATTTATTCATCCATTCATCTCATTCATTCAACAAATATTTACTGAATGACTTTTAAGTGTGGTACTGTCCTAGATGGAGGAGGAGAGAGAATAAATAATAAAATATTTAACAAGCTAAATGGTGTAAGAAAGGCATGGGAGGAAATGAAGAGTCCTGTGATGAAGTTCTTTAGTAGGAAAGGTGCCTCTAAAAAGATAGCACTGGAACAAATATTTTTAAAAGAGAAGCAGCAAGACATGTGGCTAAAAAGGGGGGAGCTTTCCAAGCAAAGAAAATAAAGTACAAAATACCTAAAGAGAGGGTATACACATGGAGGAATTGCAAAGAGGCCAGGGAGTTGGAGGTTCTGCCTGAGGGGTGAGGAAGAGATAAAGTGGGAAAGGTAAGGCTCTTACAAATCCTGGTTGGAATTTTTAAGAAATTTGGCTTTTATTTTGAGTAAAATGAAAAATAACTTTTTGAAAAAGTGACACGGTCTGATTTTCTTTTGAAAAGAATCATTCTTAGTGCTATACCAACTATAGAACGCTATTGAAACAATCCTTCCAAATGAAAATACCTTGTTCTAAAATGAGAGTAGAAAGGAGTTAGGTAGCCGTGATCAGACCCTGAATATACCTTAAAGACAGGGACAAAAAAATTTGCTGAGGGCTTGGATTTGAGGACTGATGTGTTAGTCAGCTTTTCATCACTATGACTGAGATGATACCTGACAAAAATAGCTTACAGGAGAAAAGATTTATTTTGGCTCATAGTTTCAGAGGATTTGGTCCCTATATGACTGGCTGGCTCCATGGGAGAAACATCACAGCAGAAGGGCATGACAGAGAGAAGCTGCTTATTAGCACATGGCAGCCAGAAAGCAGAGAGAAAGAGAAAGAGGAAAGGAGAAGATAAACCCTTCCAGGGCATGCCCCCATGACCTACTTCCTCTGTCCCACTTTCCAGTAGTCTATTCAGCTATCATTGATTAACCTGCTGATGAAGTCAGAGCCTGACAGGATCAGGGCCTTATGATCTAAACATTGTTTAAAGCCCCACCTCTGAAATTCACTGCACTGGAGAGCATGTTTTCAACAAATTAACTTTTGGGGCACATTTCAGATTTAAATCATAATGATTGACCAAAAAAAAAAAAATGCTCAAGATATCTTTAAGTTCCTTGGCTAGCCTCATGAGCTGAAAGGATAGGGTTGCAATGTAAAAAGAAGGAGGACAACAGGAGGAGCAGATCTGGGAGGACACTGTTCCAGGCATGCTAAGTTTGCGGTGTTTATTAGGCAACCAAGGAAAGATGCAAGGATGCTGGCTGGATATACAAGATAAGAATTCAAAGAGAGGTCAAGAAAATGCTCTTTGTATGTTGCATAGCAATGACAGTACTGACCCCAAATACTTACTATCTGATTTTTTAAAATAAGCAATGCTAGCTTTTAGTCTAAATAAAATTGTTGACTGGAATTTCTAAAATTTAGGATTAAGAATTTTTTTTACTTTATAACTAAAACCCTTAATTTTAAAGATTATTTTGTCTATATTTTTATATTTAATAGCTATTGGCATTTCTGTCATACTACAGCATGATGGCCAACTGCAATGGAAAATTTTTATGATCTGAGAAAAAGAAAGAAATATGAATATGAAGAAATCTGTAAGTCTAAGAGAAATTCCTAAGATAAAGAGTTAAAACCAAGACAAAGTTTATGAATGAAAAATGTCCCAGGGCTGGGGATTTAGCTCAGCGGCAGAGTGATTGTCTATAATTCATAAAGACCTGAGTTGAATCCTCAGCACAGAGGGGAAAAAAAAATGTCCCAGAATTAGGACATATAGGACATGTTTTCTTACGTGTTTTCTCCTCAGAATGTTATTTCCAATCTTGTATGGAAAATAAGTGGGTGAAAAATGATTCATTTCCACAAATAAGTTTGGAATCAAACATGCTACGGTTTATCTATAGTACTTCTATGAACTGTTACATTAACCTTATTTTAACTACTTGTACTAGATAAAATATAGAATTGTTTGGAGAGTAGTATTACTGTTTTTGCTTTTTCTGAAATGGCATCCAATCAGGCCATAAAATATAAAATCATATGTTAGCTAAAGCAAAAACTGCAACCAAAATAAAGAAATATAAACATGTAAATCAAGCCAGGTTGTTCTTACAATTCTTTTACTAAACAATTCAGTTCATAGAAACTAGTGGTTTCTCCTTGATGGAATCTGACATAGGCTAAACCCACCCAGAAGCAGAAGGCAACAGAATTGGAATATGTGGTATGGAGAGGCCAAACTCCAAATACAGAGCAGATAGCAGGGCAAAACTGGCTGAAGAGTGGATTTCTCAGGAGATTTGTGCCAGGGTATGGCCAAGACAGAAGATTCTGAAGTGAAGTGGCAAGGAGCAGCTGGGCTAGTTTCCTGTGAACTACTACTCCCATACTCCAGAAGCCTCCTATTCAGTCAACACAATCCTGAAATATCTCACTCACATGTCTCATTTTGGAGGGTCACAAACTGAGTTTGTGTCAGGTCTTTCATGTCTTTTGCCCAAGAAACTGTAGTAATGTTTTAAAAGTAGAAGTGAGTACAAAGGGAAAGGTGAAAAATGATTACAGATCTGTTCACTGGTAGCATACCTGATGTACTCCCCCATAAGATTAAGAGGACTGAGCCATAATAATAAGCATTTAATACAGTCTCAGAAGACAGCCAAACCCCATTCAGAATGTCTATTTGCTTCCCACAATTTCAACATAATAAACACAATAATACAGATCCTTTAATCATAGAACAATGAAAGTTTTAGAAATACATTGTATAGTACAACCTCATTCATCAAAAAAAAAAAAAAAAAAGTAAATGAAACACAGAAAGGCTAAGTTGTTTGCCCAAGGTCACAAATTTCCTAAGAAGCACAATGATGTTCCCTAGAACTCCTTGCTATGTTTATTGCTTCCAAAAGAGCTCATTCAACCTTGTAAAGATAAAAAAAACACAAGCAAAGCAAATTTACTAGGAAATAAGTTACATAAATTGTGAGCTGTATAAATATTAAAACACTCAAATATTTAAGTCACAAAAATGAAAAATATATTCATAAGCATTTTCTTAATTAGCCCAAACTTAACACATTTATCATTATAACAAGCATCTCAAGAATATACACATTTAAAAAACTACCTTTTTTGAGTAGTAAATTATAAATCTCTAATGCCTTTTTAAACTGTCAATTTATCTGAAATAGTCCTGCATTTCATAAATCCTGTAAAACAAAATCCATCTAATTTGTTAATGAAATAAAATCACAAAAAATAGCATATTGTAATTACTTGTAAGTTTCCATTTGGAAAGAGGGTGGAGTTAGGGAAACTGGCAGAAGGTGAAAACAAACCTTTCTATAATGTGTAGAAATCATGGTTTTTTCCTATTAGCGTATTTTGAAAAACAAAAATAAGACAAAGAATGACTTTTGTTCCCCTAAGCAAATATAATTTTTAAAGTAACCACAATTTGCCTAGTTTTTAAATTTTCTCATAATTTTTCACATTAAGATATCAATGACTTATAATAAGCAAAGTACTTAGCTTGATGGATGCCAATGATTTAGATTCTATAATTACATGTAAATATAAAGGTTAAGAAAAGATGAGGCACTTTTGAAAATGAAGAATCAATGAATATACTTTAATTTGCCCAATATCAAAACTTAGAGAAAAGATAATATTAGCAAAATTATACCATTTCAGAATGGAAAATTACTACATAAACCTATGAGCATATGGACATGCTACAAGATTAAACAAAGAAAAAAACAAGGAAGAAAGGATTGATTTTCCTTAACTGATACATGTTATTGTGACAGTTCATATTCTGTGTCAACTTGACATCAAGAATCAGTCAACAGAAGAGAATCAATAAGACATCAATAGAAAAACTATTTCAAAGTATCACCTATATCAGTTATCCTAATTCACAATGTAAGAAATATTTCAAATATACCTGTATGCTGCCAAATTCAACATTCTCATAATGGAAATGTGCACATTCAGCCATCTTCGGAAAGTGACCCTTAGTGAAGGGTAACCTGAAGTACATGAAAATAAATATGAAATAAGATAGTGGGAGAGTCAAAATTACCAAGTCTCGGGAATACACAATAGGTTAAAGATTTCATGCAAGCAAAAATAATAAGCACATGCATATGAGCCATATGTATCCATACAAATCTTCTCAGAGAGACATCGATCAAAAAATATTACACTTAGCACACAGATCTAAACCAAAAATGAAAAATTAAAAATAAATCACTATCCTCTCCTAATCTTGATCCAAGTCAGTGACTACAGAAAAACTACTTTAGGTGAATATTATGAAAACTAACTGTGAGCTGTCAGCTTCTAACCAGAAGCAGCATTCACAACATCAAGTACAAAACTGGATTTTACCTGTGAATGTTGTCACAGCCCATCAGTCCTGGAGTAGTAGACCTGAATGCAGAATGAACATTTTTATCCTGATCTTTCCTCTACTTATACATGAAGCATAGCTAGCTACCTAACCTTCCTTTACCAAGTAAAAAGTAGTTTCTCTCTTTAAAGATGCATGGGAAAGATTCAGGTATTTCACTGAACAGCCAACTAGCGGCATCTATCAGGCAAACTTGACACCTAGTGATCTAATAACTTGAACAGAGCTGATTTTTCTAAATGAATGACCACATAAATTAAAGGTACCAAAAAGGGCATGCCTGGATTGTTCCTATTAAACAAATTCAACCTAACAGACAATGACATTTCAAGATTAAACATACAATATATTTTTAGAAAAGCAGATAATCTGCAAGCCTATTTCCATTAATTGTTGAGTCACAATTTAAGGCTTAACAGTATAATTTAACACATGCAAAGTAAGAGCTTATTTATAAGAATCTAAAAAAAAGCTTTAACAGAATTACAGAACTGACTTCCATTTATAGGAATGCATTTAGAACCCACTCCAAAGTTATACTTACTTTTTCACATGTTTAACTTTCATACTCGCTGTATTGCCACATGTCTTAAGAGTAAGATCTCCAGGAATCTCTGGAACATCTGCTCCTCGTGCCTTCAAAAAATAAAGACAAACAACTTATGAGGATTCCTTTAGTACTGATACTTTTTAAAAAATGGATTGTAGTTAATTTTAGTGGCTCTGCTCACTTTATCTTTATAGAAATATACTGTGGCTTCATAATCTCTTCTTAAAATTACAATTTTCCTCGGTTTTAATTACTAGCAATTAGAGAAATACAAATCAAAATCACTCTAGTATTTCATCTCACTCCAGTCAGAATGGCAGCTATTATGCATACAAACAACAATAAGTGTTGGCGAGGATGTGTGGGAAAAGGTACACTCATACACTGCTGGTGGGACTGCAAGTTGGTGCAGCCAATATGGAAAGCTGTACAGAGATTTCTTGGAAAATTGGGAATGGAACCACCATTTGACCCAGCTATCCCTCTCCTTGGTCTATACCCAAAGGACTTAAAAACAGCATACTACAGGGACACAGCCACATCAATGTTTATAGCAGCACAATTCACAATAGCTCAACTGTGGAACCAAACTATATGCTCTTCAATAGATGAATGGATTAAAAAATGTGGCATATATACACAATGGAATATTACTCAGCAATAAAAGAGAATAAAATCATGGCATTTGTAGGTAAACTGATGGACTTAGAGAAGAAAACACTAAGTGAAGTTAGCTAATCCCCAAAAAACAAATGCCGAATGTTTCTTTGATATAAGGAGGCTGATTCATAGTTGGATAAGGAGTGAGAGCATGGGAGGAACAGATGACCTCTGGATAGGGCAGAGGGGTTGGAGGGGAAGGGAGGTGGCATGGGGTTATTAATGATGGTGGAATGTGATGATCATTATTACCCAAAGTACAGCTATTAAGACATGAATTGGTGTGAATAACTGTGTAAACAACCAGAGATATGAAAAATTGTGCTCTCTATGTGTAATGAGAATTATAATGTATTCTGCTATCATATATAAACAAAAAAATTTTCTTTAAAAGGTGTGTGTGTGTGTGTAATAAAGACACACAGATGGAGACCTGAGAGAGAGAGAGAGAGAGAGAGAGAGAGTAATAAAGACACACAGATGGAGACCTGAGAGAGAGAGAGAGAGAGAGAGAGAGAGTGTGTGTGTGTGTGTGTGTGTGTGTGTGTAATAAAGACACACAGATGGAGACCTGGTGCATACCAGGCAAGCATTGTACCACTGAGTTACATCCCAAACCCAAAAACAATTTTTGGGAAAAAATAAATAACCAAACTAGTTTGAATAAGCATTTTTTCAAAAAAAGAAAACTTTTCAAAGATATGAGGTAGCAATTATGAACTTATATAAATTAACCCTTGCTTTCACAATAGAGTACACCTAATTTTTGTTTTTAAGGGGTTTTTTTCCTTAGCAAATTTATCTATTTAAGAGTTAATAGTTCATGATTTAATCCTTCTTGGAAGTCTTTTATTCTCTTAGAGGTCTTCCAATGAAAAAGAATATGTACTATATTGTTTAGAGATGAAATAAAATTCTATCTCACATTTTCCATGTAGATTACACTGGACCTTTTTATAAATATAAGATAGGATCTTGTATTACCTTTCCTTTGTCTAAGAACGTATTTTTAAATACCCTTAGGTATTATTATTTCATCAGTACTCACCATCATTCATTGATTATTCTCCACCATGCTAAAAATATTTTAAAAGACTAAAATAAAAAATATTTAAAAGAAAAAGGAAAATCGAGGAATCACCTAGAAGAGATTGGCAAACTTTCTCTTGAAGGCAGCTGACAAATATTTTAGGCTGTGGGCCACACTATACCTACCATTCTTCAACTCTGCTATAGTGGCACAAAAGCAACCACACGAAAATGACCAAACAGGCCACACTCCAATACAGCATGGTAGGTAGCAAATGAGATTTGCTGACCTCTGACCTACAAGGCTAATCCCATAGTGAAATAATTCATCACCCAGCTTTTATATTATGTTGCCCAATACATTGTATCTTTCAAGGAAGTATTTTTTAAAGCTAGGACAGAACCTTTGTAGTCTGCATTTTATCTTTAATTTTTTATCACCCAAACCATGCACGTGGTATTTTTTTATCAAGGGGTCGAAACCTGGCCAGTCACTGAGTCCTGGCACTCTCGGCCTCTTGCTCTGCATTGGCCATTAGCCACTTCGGGGCCCTGAGATTCTAATTTCATTGATTACACTAACTAATTCCATAGTTTTCATTTTCTACCCACAATAGAAAAGAGAAGAAAACTGACAAAAAAAAAAAAAAAAAGATTTCACAATGATGAGAAACATCAAAAGTGCCAAAACAGCACTGTAGATTACCAGTGTTGTTTAAAGTAACATGACATTTCTGACTAATGATAATAACCTAAAAGAAAATAATGAGTTAAGAATTAATAAGTATAAATGTATTTCTAAAGAAAAAATAAATATGGTATTTTCTCCAGTTAGTCAACTGAAAGGACTTTTTCATGTAATATTATGAAACAACAACTTGGATCACCTTTTTGGTTTTTTGTTTGTTTTAAAAAAAATATCATGCAATACCATTTCATCATTTGTGAATGTTTGCATACCAAAATTTATTTGACATAAGAGGTTTGCTATGCTTAAATTACTATTAAAATTTCTACTGAGTTGATTTTTTATTACTTATGCTATAAGTTTCTCATGAAATTCAACTTTTATGAAAGAATAAAAAAGGCCCCACTGGACTGGGTTGGTAAACAGTGATGACTCTATTTGGTAGACTAAAAATTAAAACATTAACTTTTTTTTTTTTTTTAAGAGAGAGAGAGAGAATTTTTTAATATTTATTTTTTAGGCTGTTCGCCGCTGCACCTTCGGGCAGAGCCTGCTCTGGGGTCGTTCTGCATCCCCCTGCGAGGGGACCCGTGCTCCAGAGGAGGGGGCCGGAGAGCCGCGGCTGCAGCCACTTGGGCCCCGGGGGCCGGGCGCCTGGCAGAGGAGCGGCGGAGGCCGCAGCGACGGCGGCAGGGTTTCATTTCTAGAAATCTGGACTGGAAACAGAAGCAGCAGTTTGTATAATCCCAAGAACTTGCTTATGCCAGGAAACTGTAAGGGTAACATGAATATCATTGAGGAGATCCAACATGGCAGCGGGCGTGGAGAGATCAAGTCTCTGACCTCTTCAGCTGCGCGGGCATAGGGAGCCGTAAATTGTTTAAATGCTGTTTGCTCAGGATCACTAGGCAATGCTGAGCTGACGTGGACCTGGGGCGAACAGTATGGGCCCCTCAGAACACTCACACGGAGCCAGGATCGGCTGCATTCAAGCTCCGGTTCGCCTGCTTCTCGTGACTCAGCACTAACGATCCCGCTGAAATAACTGGTCGGCCCTTATGAACTTTCAGAGGTAAAAGCCAACCGAGCCTTCATAGGCAGTGGCCACAGGATTGAAACGGGGATTAGGAGAAACAGTCAGGACCCACCCGTTGCATTGGTCACCTGGCAAAGGGAATGAACGGTCACCATTTGCATGGGATACTGCTGATAGTAGGCCCGCCCTGGCCCCTGGGGACTCAACCCCCAGTTCTTTGTTATGCATGTCAATGTGGCCAGCTCACAAGGCCATGACGCAGGCTTGCGGTTCCCTGTTTATCTGCCTCGCACATATGTGTCTCGGGAACATCTTGACCTGTTCGAGCCTCCTGATAGGGGACGGTGACGTGACGGTAACCCAAGGACGCAGTTATTACTCTCCCCTCCTCACTTTTGAGTAATTTCCCGCAGTTGTTAAAAAGATATATAAGGGGAACAAATTTGGCAATAAAGCGCGCGCACATGCCCCCTCCTGGATGAAGAACCTTGGTGTCCTGTGTATTTTTAACCCCGACGTCCCTCGCCGGACTCGGCTCCGTTAGCCGGACGCGGCATCTGGAGGTTCCCACCGAGATCCGGAAAGTAGGGGTAAGCGGACGGGGCTCACCTTCTAAAGGTAGAAGGGGGAGGATTGGTTTAAAGGTAATTTAAAGAGACAGGGTACGTACCATGGGTAATAAAAACTAAGACTGCAACCAAATTCTTTGAAGTTATAGCCCAGGCTTGTCCTTGGTTTTTGACAGGAGGCTTTCTCAATAACAATGATTGGGATTTAATTTGGCAACAGCTTCGCAGGGCTGTGTTGTCCGGAGGGGATTTCTTGTTGTGGAAAAGTGAATATCATGAAAGGTGCCGCGAGCTGGCTCAGATTAACCTGAATGCGGGCCATCAACAGCGAAATGCTGAAATGTTAACAGGAACTGGGCAGTATGCCACCATAGGCCAACAAATTAGTTACGACCCAGGTGTTTATGCTCAGATAGCCTCAGCTGCGGTCCATGCCTGGAAAGCCCTGCCCGTTTCTAAGACTGAAGCAAAAATTTCCAAGATCTGTCAAGGGCCCTCTGAACTTTATTCGGACTTTATAGCCCACCTAATGCAGGCGGCTGGAAAAATATTCCCTAATCTGGAACAGGCTATGCCACTTATTAGACAACTGGCATATGAAAACGCTAACACTTACTGCCAAAATGCTATTAAGTCCTCCCGGGCCAAAAGTATAGATGACATGATTCGAGCATGCAAAGATATAGATGGGCCTCATATTACTGGTCAGGTTCTGGCTCCAACCAAATAAGACTGTTTCCCTATCTTTGGTGCTATCTTAGGTGCCTTGCCTTGTCCGTCCCTACAACAGTATAATTCTATGTACTTAAACATTGTTCATGTTTTCATGAAATAGTAAACAGATGTGATTAATTGTGCAAATAACAAAATATCTCTTATTGAAATGGAATAATTTGCCTAAATTCAGAAATTTACACGGATTGGTTCAAAGTGTGAATAAAGAAGGAATTAACAGATGGGAAAGAGAAATTAGAAGGTTCTAGGTATGAATAGAGGGAAAATGTGTTTCTGGATAAGAGAGTCTATGTGATTAAGTAAATAAGAGGGTTTAAGCAAGTGATAAAGAAGGTCTGTGTATGTTGGTTATATATGTAAGTTTTTTGA